ATATATATATATATATCCATTTATATTTAGTCTTATCCGTATACTCACCCACTATAGTTATCCCAGAACAGAGAGGCCCCCTGTGTACAGTAATCTAGCGGCCTCAAAACTTAGAATAAGGTTTGGGGGTTCTATTACACTGCGAATACAATAAGGGGCCCTAATGAATGAGATTGGTAACGATTGAGGCTTTTGAAGCTGTAAATAGTAACCCTTGTAGGCACCCTGAAACCCGAAACCCTAAGCCTCCTCCAGCCCCTAAACCCTAAACCCTAAAGCCTAAACCCTAAAAAAGGCCCCCTGTAGTCTCCCACAAAAGCCCCTGACCTGCGCCAGTCGTCAACTCGCTGGTAGGCAGCCAAAGCCGAGTTGCAGCTGACCTGAAGTTGGTTCAGGTCTCCGCAGGCCTTGACGTTTAGGGTTTAGGGTTTAGGGTTTAGGGTTTAGGGTCTAGGGTTTAGGGCTTATATGGCTAAGCGCTCAAGGCGCATAGGGCTATGAAGTTGTGGGGTTTAGGGTTTAAGGTGTCTTTGGGGGGTTTTGGGCCGTCCTCTTTGGGATACAGGGTTCCAACCTTGGCGAGCTTCAACAATGGAACCAGCAAACACGTGGAACCCCTCAGTAAAACCCTGATCACCGAGACGGCCAAAGGAAAAGCCTTCGGCTATGGATATCAGGTTTCTGGTTGAGGGTTTGCTATTCAATATAGGGGCCTTAATGGTTAGAATAGGATTTTGGGCCCATTACACTATAATTATCATTAGGAGCCGCCAACATCGTATTGGTAAATATTTAGGCCCCTACATTTCCTGTGGCGCAAAAGACCTACCTTTGTAAGGAACTATACTAACTATGTTATGTACCAGAAACTAAACCCTAATCCCTAAACCCTAAACCTTAACCCCTAGACTAATCCCTAAACCCTAAACCTTAAACCCTAGACCCTAAACCCTAAACCATCACACGGAACCCTAAACCCTAAACCATCACACGGAACCCTGAGAGGGTATATAGGTCTTTTCAGCTACAGGTAGGGTCTCGGTTGGGCCTTGAAGGGTGTTTCAATGGTGTTAGTAAACCCCGAAAAGTTGGTAGTGGTGTTTGGGTTTAGGGTGGAGGGTTGAGGGTTTAGGGTTTAGGGTTTAGGGTTTCGTTACTCTTACGGATTGAAGCTAGTGGATTTCTGACTGTTGGGCTTCCAGTGTCACAGGTCCCTAAGCCCTAAACCCTACATTTTTCACCCCCAAATCATAGGCATTGAAGCCCGAGCCCCTAAACCCTAAACGCTAAAACCCTAAACCCTAAACCCTAAACCCCTAAACCCTAAACCCTAAAACCTAATCCCTAAACACTAAACCCTCCCATGCTTTGGGGTTTCAGGGTTAGGGTGTAGGGGTCGGCCCTCAGGTTGGGATTCCGAGGATTTTTCTGAGTTTAAGGCATGGGATATAGGGCTTGGGGTTTAGGGTTTAGGGCTCTTCAAGTCCTATGATTTGGGGTTAATAATCATAGGGCTTAGGGTTTAGGGTTTCCCTAAACCCTAAATTTTAAAGGGTTTAGGGAAACCCTAAACCCTGAACCTTCATTAAGAGTTTTAGGGTTTACTTTGTCATTTGGGGATGGGGGTTGCAGGCCCAGTGACTTCGGATGGCGGCAGCCTGTGGAGCTGCGTCTTGGCCTGCACAACTCCACTGAGTGCAAAACTTCACTACAAAAAAATCCTTTAACCCTAAACCCTAAACGGGTTTAGGGTTTAGGGTTTAGAGTGCACAACTTCGCAACAAAAAACCCTTTAACCCTGCAGAATGGGGCCCTAAACCCCTAAAGCCTAAACACGAAACCCCAGACGCCCTAAACCCTAAACCCTAAAGTATGAACCCTAAACCCGAACCCCGAACGCCCCAAACCCTAAGCCCTAAACCCGAAGCCCTAAAACCTAATCGGGAAACCCTGAACATGAAGGGAACTCAGAGAGCAGAATCGGTAAGGAGAAGAGTCGACACCAAGCTTGGGCTCTGTGGCAAAACACCCCACGGCTTAGAGTGCAATTCAAGGTTTAGGTTTTAGGGTTTAGGGTGTAATTTAGGGTTTAGGGTGCGATTAGGGCTTAAGTTTTAGGGTTTAGGGTATAATTAGGATTTAGGTTTTCGGGTTTAGGGGCTCCTTGTCAGAAAACTCTGTTGCTGGAGCACGCCTTTACATAACATGAAACCGTTGTTGGGGTGACTCTCGGGCTGTTACTGTAAGGGTCACCACTGTAGAGGGTTACGACTTCAAGGTATCCCTAAACCCTAAACCCTAAACCCTGAACCCTAAATGCTAAACCCTAAACCCTAAAATATTATCATCTAGTTGTTGTATTTCACGCACAGGGCTGGTTGGCCTTTCGATCGCGATAGGAGTACGCGATTACGCCCCAATCCTACTTCAGAAACAGAGTATCTAAATTCAACCGCAAGAAGACAACCGTCCTTCAGTATAATTATACTATAAAGGATCAAATCGCAAAGCCCAACAACAGAAGAAACCAAACACAGAAGCTTTAACCATGCGAAGCCTAGTCATAACGGCCCTGAGCCCCATAGCTTCGTTGTCAAATGTATAAGCCAGGCAGATGTCACACACCTAGCTAACCCTATACCTTAGTCGTCCAGTGTAGAAGCCAGGAAAGTTTCACTTTGCAGTTCAAAGATAAGCTATGCAGCTACACTCCACGGGCTCAAGACAGACTGCAGGCTCAGCTACTACACTCAAAACCCTCAACCCTCAACCCCCTAAGCCCTAAACCCTAGTAAAGACCAACAGAAACCCATAAGGCCGTATGAAAAAAACCCTCAACGTCTCTAGACTCTAGAAGCCATTTAACAGTCAGACACTACCCATAGGCCCCATAGTAGTTCCTTCTTGGGGTTCATATATAGAACCCTATAAGGTAACCCAATGGAACTACTTTCGGGCCTATGGGTACCCTGTAAAGCATCCCAAACCCTAAACCCTAAACCCATGCTCCTGGAGCTCCACGGCAGACTGCCAGGACGCGCCCTTTGCACAGGTGCTGATGGCCTGGGGCCGATTTAGGGTTTAGGGTTTAGGGTTTAGGGACGATTAGATGCAGGGCTCTGGAGAATCTGGTCTTCAGCACTCTTAAGGACTGGGAGTTAGGATTAGGGGACCCTTGGGGATAGAGACCCTCTCAAGAAGGTCCGTTTTAAGAGAGCCACAAGTAGGGTTAAGAAGGATCCCCTTTAAGGGGTCTCCCTAATTCTACCTAGGAAGAAGGTGCCTTACAGTTTAATGACCTGAGTAGGTTTCAAGTTTCGGCATATTGGAGCGACTAGAAGGGGCACATTCAGGCAAATTACTCAGACTCACATATGGGTAGTTCTCTGAATTTCTGGTCCCTTTGAGGACTCTTTTTAAGGGTGCCGTACTATTTTGGGGGCCTAAAAAGGGACCCTAAACCCTAAACCNNTAATTTAGAAAACTACCCATACAGTATGTGAGGGTCCGGGGGTTGATGGCCTGGATGGTTCGGGTTTCGGGGCTGAGGGCTTGAGTAGGGTCCGGATCTAGGGTCCAGGGTGTGGGTTTAGGGTTTAGGGTTTAGGGTTTAGGGTTTAGGGTTTAGGGTTTAGGGTTTTGTAATTTAGGGAACTTATGACGACTTAGCAGGTTTTGGGGGGTAGATTTTTCTATCCTTATAATATATGAGGAACCCATGTAGTCAGTCTTCTATATAAGGCTAGGGCGGACGGGGGGATGCGGGGTTTGGAGGTGTTGGAAGGTTCAGGGGCCTCGGAAGTATCATCTGTACCTGAAAGTAAACCAGGGTTTAGGGTTTAGGGTTTAGGGGAACTGCGATACTGCCCCCACTCTGTGACAGTTGTGTTAATTTCATAACATATCCATATATGGCCAATAATAAATTTTGACCCCAACCTAAACCCGAAAATGCTACATCCTCGTCAGGAGTGTCACCGGACCTCCAGCGCGATGCAACGCAGCTTTTGCCGAATCGCACAAGCACTGGACCCTAGACTGAACTGAACCCCGCAATCCCTATTGAACCACTAGGGTTGATGATATAAATCTTGCATTATACCCATAATTAAGGAATATACCATAATTCCCATAGTTTAGGGCCCTTAAGGTACTGCAGGACTTATCATCATCAACAGTATCAACCCCAGGCTCTACAACCCCAAGCCGTGAACCCGATACCCTATACGCTAGACCCACGAAAGCCAGGAATCTGAGCTCGAAAACACGCAGGCCGAAGCCCTGAAGCTTCCAAAAATCCCAGGAGGTGCTGAACAGCGAGCCATGCTATCGCAGGGTTTAGGGTTTAGGGTTTCGGCGGCCCCCCATATCGCAAAACTTGAAGAAGCCTGCTACAACAGCCCCTTCCTTAACCCTTTTATTCGCCTCCTTCCAAAAACCGCTTCCCCCCTACCACCCTAAACCCTAAACCCTAAACCCTAAACCCTAAACCCTACCACTCTCACCCTTTCTTAAGCGAGTGGCCACCCCGCATGTGACGAGAGTCGGGTGCAGATTCTGGCTGTCTGCTGCTTCCTCAGAGCAGGGTTTAGGGTTTAGGGGTCTAGGGTTTAGGGGTTTAGGGTTTAGGGGTTTAGGGTTTAGGGTTTAGGGTTTAGGTTTCTAGGGAGCCAGACTCCCTGTCGTTGGGCTATGTATGGGTAGCTCTCTAAATTCGGGTCCGACCTTGATTTGGAGAACTACCCCATATAAGAAACCCATAGAAATCCCGAAATCCTAAATCCTGGAGGCCCCCTAAACCTTAAACCCTAAACCCTAAACCCCTAAACCCCTAAACCCCAAACGCCAACCCTGAACCTCCAAACTCTCCATCCGGATCGCTAGACCCCAGAGCCTAAACGGAAACAAGACCGAGACCTTAGTAGGTAGTAGTATTAGGGGTAATTACCCCTTAGAGGGTACCCCTTCTGAACCCTACTTTAGGCTCGCTTAAAAGGGACCTTATTGAGAGGGTCTATATCCCCAAGGGTCCCCCTAATCCTAGCTCCCACTTTGGGTTTAGGGTTTACGCTAAAGGGGGTTAGGGTTTAGGATTTACCTGAAACCCTCAGCTCAGGTAGGTGGTTTAGGGTTTAGGATGGGTTTAGGGTTTAGGGTTCAGGGTTTGGGGAAATAGCGTATGCCCCGAATTATATCCTCTTGGTGGTCTGGGTAAGCCGCCAGGGTTCCAAGTAGTGTAAAGCCGTCTCCCAGAGTCCTTTACCTTCATGGGCGCTGATGGCGGCACTGTAGGTGATAGTGGATGGCTGCACGCCCTGGCAACTCATCATGCAGGGGATGTCTAGGGCTTCAAGGGTTTAGGTTTTCCCTGAGGGTGCCCTGAGCAGTATTCGGGTTCTACAGCTTGCTTTACCCCAGGGTCCTGTTCTTTAGGGTTGGGTAGGGTTTAGGCTTACTACAGGGGCCTTAATAATCAGAATAGGATTTTTGGGTATATTATACTATGGTTGAAAAAGGAACCCCCAAAATAGTGTTGGTAATTATTAAGTCCCAGCCCTATTAGGGTTGGGTTTAGGATAATAAGGAACCCCCAAAATAGTATTGGTAACTATTTAGGCCTCTATATTAGGGTTTCCAAGCTAGAAAATGCTTCCTTCAACCCTCGGCACCCTTCACCGCCGTCCTGGATGAGGGTCCTAAGTTTTAGGGTTTAGGGTTTAGGGTTCAGGGTCCAGGCTTTAGGGTTCGGGGTTCACCGTCTAGGGTTTATAGGGTTTGTTTTTTTAATGCAGTGACCCTGGGTTTAGGGTTTAGAGTTTGGGGTTCAGAGTTTAGGGTCCTAGGTTCGTCGGGGTCCGGGTGTCGGGTTGACGTCGGGTCCGGGTGTCGGTGTTGATAAGCCACCCTTAGGTCAAGCAAGGTCGATAGGGCGTCGGTTCTGGAGCACTCTGGTGTTTGACATAAAAAACTCACCAAGCAAAAGCACACGCCACTCAAGCCACCTACACTAAAACACGCCGCAAGAAAACATAACATCTATCAGCTCCAGACACAACAGTTCACCCAACAAAGGGCACGACGCACTTCCAACAACGAGACGTCCCCAAAGCTTGGAACAAAACCCGAAACCCGACACCCTTTGAGACCTCGAAGGCCGAACCAACCCTAAAACCCCAGGAACCCTAAACCCTAAACCCTGAACCCTAGATCCTAACCCTAAGGGTCCAAGTACCTAATAATCATATACTCTCCCAAACAGTTACCTACATAACTACTATCCTTTGGACCCTTGGGGTAAGTCCTAAACCCTGAATCCTAAGACTTAAAGGAACCGTTGAAGGAAGCCCCCAAAACGTCCGACAGCCGCCTCCGCTCGGATCTGATCCAAAAGCCTCGGCGTTTGCTCCCAAACGGAAGATCGGGCGCAGCCGCTGAGAACCGAATTCCTGGAGTTTGGGGCTTCTGGGGTTTAGGGTTTAGGGGGTTAGGGTTTAGGGAGTTTAGGGATTTGGGGGTTTAGGGAGTTTAGGGATTTGGGGGTTTAGGGAGTTTAGGGTTTGGGGGTTTGCGGTGTAGGGGTATAGGGTTTAAGGGTTTAAAGAGCTTATAAGACTTAGAGTTTAGAGTTTATCGGCTTTGGGAAGCTTCGGCAAAGCTGTGTCGGGTTTAAGACCCTGTATATAGGCTTAAGGAATTTGGGAAGTTTTCGGGGGAGACGTTGGGTGTTAGGACGGTTTGAGGTTTAGGGTTGGAGATAGGCAAAGCTGGTGATCCTCAAGGGGGTTTCGGAAGTCTTTGATACCGAAAAAGATGACAACCCTAAATCCTAAACCGCAAAATACATTTCAGAGCGAAGGTTCCAAGTAATGGCATCAGCCGATAGATCTGCGCCAACGGCCTGTGACCTCGGTTTAGGGTTTAGGGTTCAGGGTTTTTGGTTCAGGGTTCAGAGTTTAGGGTTCAGAGTTTGAGAATTTGGGGTTTAGAGTATCTGAGTGGTTCTCTGCCGCGCGGACGTTTGAAAACTGGGGGGGGATTAGAGTTCAGGGGTCTTAGGTTTGACGGCTTAGGGTATAGATGCTTAGGATTTGAGGGTTAGGGTTTAGGGTTTAGGGTTTAGGGTTTAGGGTATAGATGCTTAGGATTTAAGGGAAGGTTCCAAATAAACAAAGAGTACCTAGTATGTGGATATTCAAGCATCTGCACGTAAAGGACTTGAGCCCAAGCATGTGCTGCCTGAATACTGGATCCACGAGGCCTCAAGACGAAATACCGACACATTGGAAACATCCAAAGCAGAAATCCAGAAACTCAGATTAAACGCATAGCTGACCTGGTAGGCAGCAATTATTCCCTCTTGCAGATGAGAAGGAACTGAAAGTAGACATGTACGAGAGTAGAACGGTTCAATCCAAGAAGCAGCAAATGCCTTGCGTAAGGCCATTGGGATCCCCTCTCGCAGGAGCTGACGGCCGTGCCATATGTAACGATGGTCGGCTGCAGCTGGTGTTGGTGAACCTTATCTTGCCAAAATGCCCCACCAGCTCAAGTTCTGCGGCACGTGCCAAGGACACAATCGATGTACGGTTTAGGGTTTGGGGTTTAGGGTTTAGGGTACACATACTTCGAGGAATTCACACAGAGTTGGCCCAGCGCCTGCATCTAGATTGCCAGTGGTTACACCCTGACTCTCGGCCCTAGCAGCATACCCATAGGCCCCATAGTAGTTCCTTTTTGGGGGTTACCTTACAGGACTCTCTGTATGAACCCCAAAAAGGAACTACTATGGGGCCTATGGGTATAGGTAGGGCCTAAACCCCAAACCCTAAACCTTAAACCCTAAACCCTAAACCCTAAATTATACGTAGGATTCTATATACGAACCCCCAAAAAAGAACTACTTTAGGGCCTATGGGTAGGGGCCTAGAGACTTGGAGAGGCATCCTCCAGGTTCCCCGAAATTGCCACAAATCCCGAAAATCAAACTTGATTATTAAGTGGGTTTTGTTTCGTTTTTGGGTTTAGGGTTTAGGGTTTAGGGCTTAGGATTTAGGGTTTAGGGTCTAGGGTTTAGTGTTTGGGGCTTGGGGTTTAGGATTATCAAGGCCCCTAGATTGCTCTTGGCGGAAATATCTGAAGTTCATCTGAAAAGCTTCTTGGCACAGCGCCAATGCTCCATGCCAGAGGCCGGCCTTCTTGCATCGATCAATGGCCTTGTTCCTTACTTGTGCTGCTTCTTGTGAGAGGTTACGTAAGTTGCACCAACCCTAAAAACCCGCGGCAAGTTGCTTGAAGCATGATTACCGGCGTCCGTTCTGAAGTACTAGACTCATGCTGGAACCTGTATGAAAGAGAAGAACGAGAAAAGAACGCAACCGTGGACCCAACTCTAGCAAGGGAAGCCCCAAATCCCAAACCCTAAACCTTAAACACAGACCAAGGGTCCACTCGATGATGTAGATTGCTGCATCCCCCGCAGGCTTGGTGTACATGGCACACCCATCTAGACCTAATTCCTTCGCCGGTGTGCTGCTTCAGCACACAAAGGCTCGCAGCAGATGGAAGCCTAATCCCCTTAGGGCTTCGGGTTTAGGGTATAGGGTTTAGGGTATAGTATAGAGTTTAGGGTTTAGGGTTTAGGGTTTTGGGTATAGTATAGAGTTTAGGGTTTAGGGTTTAGGGTTTTGGGTATAGGGTTTAGGGTTTAGGGGGCCTTGATAGTTTCACGGGTCCGCTTGGGGCGCCTTACGGGTAAATCCCAGTCATGAGCCCTGAGGAATAATACCATCAATATCAATCCTCCATACGATAATGTAGGGGCCTCCATAATTGCCAATACTATTTTGGTGGTTCCTCATGCTAACTATAGTATAATATACCCCAAAACCCTATTCTAATTATTAAGGCCCCTACACGAACCTATCACACTAAACCCCAAACCCTGAACTCTACCCCTGGACCTTCCAAGCTGCACAAACGTGCTGCGGCAGGGTGAGAGAAGCAGAACACAGAGCTATGGGGTTTAGGGTTTAGGGGTTTAGGTATCGCATGCGTGACATGCACCAAAAATGCGCTAAGTTAGGGTTGAAGGTTCCGTGCGTGGAGCTTGTCATTTAGGGCCTGGCTTGTTAAGGCTCTTATGATGCGGTCATATACTTATTGCCTTATCTAAATTCTCGGTCTCAGGATCGCTGCGAGTGTGTACTGTTAAATCCGGGTTCGAAAACCGTATGTCTCTTGGCCTGTAGACATACAGTCCGAGCTGCAACAACCTGTGGTGATTGGAGTCAGAGATAACTGTTGATCTAAGTCTGAAAACTTAGGGCTCAGGGTTTTCAGTGATGGTTTTCAACCTACGATACAACTACTATACTACTACTGCTAGTCATGCTACTATACTACTATACTAGTTTCTTGCTACAATGACCGTGCTGTATTCTTCCTAGTGCACCTTCCTGCACTCCGATGAGGTCCCAATTCAAGACCCTCATCTAAACTCTATAAACCCTACAGCAACCTCCTGAGCTCCAGGCGCACAGGGCTGCCACCTGCATGCAGGTGGCTTTGGGCTTAGGGTGCTGGGGTCTGTTTCTAGGGGCTTCTTGATGTTGGGGGATCCTCTTAAGAAAGGTCCCCCGCGCCTTCCGGTCTATATTTGGAGCTCTGAACCATTCTAGCTTGAAGACATTCCCTTTTTGTTCACAGTTGGGGCGTTCTAAAGATTAGTGGTTCGATATGTCCTTTTCTGCAGGGTCGCCGTAAACGAAGGATCCTGACTAGCACTTCGGCTCTACATCAAGTAGGCATAGCTTCGACCCCCCCATGTGGCTGAGAATTTGGGCTTTAGAAACCCCAAAAGCAACCTAAACCCACCCTAATAGGGGGGGGGGGGGGGCCTTAATAATNNCCTATACCATTTTGGGGGTTCCTTATCATAAGTATCGTATAGTATACCCCAAACCCTATCCTAACGTATTTAGGCCCCGTATAGTAACTTCACAGCTCGACAGCCTCTGGGCTCCTCCAGGGTCACCCGGTGCTTCGCGGGCGTCACCTGGCCATCAACGGAGGATCAGGGTTTCAGCGTTTAGGGTTTAGGGTTTAGGTTTCAGTGTTTAGGGTTTAGGTTCCAGAGTTTAGGGTCCAGGGTTTAGGGTTTAGGGTTCAGGGTTTCGGCTTTAGAAGCCATAAAGTTGGAACATTATAGTCCTCATGCCCTTCAAGTAAAGCATAAGGGATCCGAGTACAAATCATCCTAAACCCTTGTTCCAACTTTCTGGGGTTTAGGGTAGGGTTTAGGGATTAGGGCTTTAGGGTTTAATTAGGGCTTAGGGCTT